CCCCCCCCAAAGTTATACATTAAGTGTATCTTCTGGAGAATTCAGTGGTTTGCTCTAGGTTGTTTAACCGGCTATATTGAAATCTTTTCATAACATTGTCTTGTATAATAGCCTTGGTATCACTTTTTTCATACAGCTTAAATTCTTGAGCTCATTATCATTATCTTGTGTCTTCATTGGAACAGGTTAGTAACAGAAGTCTTGTTGTACTTCTCTGTTCTAAATATTGATTGTTGTCATGGTCTTGGCTGAATTATGTTCCCACATATTTTTCATTCCTCCGTTGGGTCTCACTCAAACGTGGCGCTTTTTTGTCTTTAGTTTTCAAGGCCTATTAGGTCCTATCTCTGCTTACTCTCTGTGAAATCTCTCCTTCAGCACTCACATACTACCTGACATCTAACATAGCGTTAATTTGCATTAGCTCCTTATTGAATTGTCCAAGACAGTCTTACCTATGAGTGTTTCACAAAGCTGCCATTTGTTTTCTAGTTCTTTCTTTTTATTCTCCTTTTCTGTGTTCCACAGTAAAAAAAAAAAAAAAAATCCAAACCCTCTAGAAAAACCCCAGACCAAAAAACCAGAAAAATAGCTCCCCAAAACAGGGAGGGGGGAAGAAAAAAATCCTTAGGTTCACTGCACTGAGACTTCTACCTACCATGATGACTAGTATGTCTTGCCATTTCCTTATAATCCTCATTAGCACCTTTGTGCTTTGCTGTTTCAGTTGTAGATGGTTAGCACTTTGGTTTTGGGACTATATGGTCCTGGCTTTCTGTAGGGCGGTTAAAGAAATCCTTTTCTACAAAATCATTAAGGCATTTTTTCCAAAGTAGTATTTTAGAGTATTTTTGTGGAAAGTGTTTTGAGTCTCATTTCCATATTGTAACAGAAGGGCTTCACTGAAATATGGAAGGTGTAGGTGTGGAGAAATAGATCGTTAGGCATCCCTTAGCTGATGGGTGTAAATGATCAGGAATTGTCAACCTACTGGTGGAGTCACCTGAAATATATAAAAAAATTTACAAGCAGACAAGAGCTTCTAATGAATGGGAGTGAGGGAAGGTGTAACATGTGAAAGCATCTTTCACATGGTTAATGCTTTAAAGAAAGAAAAAAGTTAGGAGTTGTAGCTCTGGCTTCTCCGACAGGGAAAACAATTGAATCCTGACTGGTTTATATGGTACAGGCTGGTAATACCATGAGCATATATGTAGGCAAGCTTTATTGTCTCCTTTTACTGCAAGACCTCTAGATTACTTTTTATTGCTGACTGATTTAATACTATAACAAGTTTTGTTAGTATTGTTGTTAGCTCAATGGAAGAACTTTTTATTTGTGACCAGTTTAAATACAAAGTACGTCTAAAAGCAGAAAGGATTCTGAAGTAACAATTCTGTCTCATCAGAATTAAATTGTAAGTGAAGACATAAAAGCAAAGTTGTTTTCTTGCTTGTGACTATTTGTACATTGCTGAGGTACCTGAAACTTCCCCTCAGCATTCATACAAGGTAAACTTTGCCTAATTCTGTAGGAAGTAAAAATAATTTTTCTGAATATTTTTAATTTGAGGAAAAAGGTCAAGTCAAAACCAGATAGATAATCTTGCCATCATTGAGCCCTTCTGATGCTACTTACTAGTAATTCACCCTGTTGATAACAGTTAAGAATGCTGCTTGGTGGAAGAATATAGCTTAAATCAGAGAATTGGAGTTGGATAAGAGGAAGAAGGTTTCATAACTGAATAAATATTAGACAACTCTTCAATATTTTTTTCATTTCTCCAAAGCTGCATAATTATTTGTAATTTTTACCTTAGTTTGGTTGGTTTTTGTGACACATTTCAGGCAGGAGACTCCACCAATAGAACAGTGAAACTATGGCATTATACTCTACCAGTCTAAATAATACTCAAAACTTTCAGAAATCCTGGTGTCTTTGCAAAGAGAGTATAATTTTATTGTGGTGTGTAACTGATCTTACAATCTGGTGAACGCAGTGTATATTCTCTTTCACTTTACTTGTCTCTGGAGGTAGCTGGCTCCCCCTTTTTTTCCCCTCTGTCTAGGTTACAATAGTCAGATTTTATCTTGTTATATTGATTCTTTATTTGATATAGCTCCATCTGTCCCAATTATCTGAAATTGTTTAAAAACATTAATGAATGAAGTTCCAGAACACTGTGAGGAGGAGAATACTGTATTTAAATCCGGAGGAGCTCTGGATTTTTAGATGCATGCCTTAGAGAAGGAACTCCAAGTCTTGTTGTAATGTGGTTTAAACCACATTAACTTTCTCTCCAGGGCATTTTGATTATTAGTATTGGAAGAAAGGGTGAAGAGTGCAGTGGTGGTTGGAGAACATTTAGGGGCATATCACTGCAAAACTGTATATCCTAGGCATCCATGATTGAGAGATGCCAGAGACAATACAATGAGCTAGATGCTTGGTTCATCCCACTAGACCATTTACAATAGGCTGAGAGGATTTTCCTCTGGTGGGAAAAAAAGAGAAAGAGGAAATAATCTAAACAGTAGGCTTTTATGTGTTTGGTAAAGATTCTAAATAGTTTGTAGTAAGTATTTCAGGTTTCTAGATTATAGAAACTGGTAACTGTAATACAGATAATTTTTTCTAATTTTGACTCTATGTAACTTACCTGTTTTGAAATGCTTTTTTTATTTTAGTGTGGTATCTACTACTGTATGTCTGCTATTGTCTTTTGGTGAGACTCCAGTCCGTACATGTGAGATAACATACATGCATATAAAATGTTATCCCTGTGTGTGACTCCAGCCATTAGGTGGTTAAAATGCTGTACAAAGAAATGTAACATCAAATAGACATTCACTCACTTAGAAGACATGCTTGGGAGGTTTAATCTCTTAATGCAATAAAATGAAATTTTTTAAATTACCAGCAATAAGCTATAAGGTCAGTCAATAAAATACCCTTGCAGTTGCAATGACAGTGAAGAAATGCCTCTGCAATAGTTGGAGTTAAATAAGGGTAGGCTGTAGTGGAGAGAGAGCATACTAGAGGTATATGGAACGGAAGCAAACTGGGAAGGTAATCTCCTGTTTAATCTTTAACACTTAAAAAAAAAAATCTGTTCAAATAAAGTTGACAAACAGACTTAATGGTACAAAATATAATTAACTTTTAGAAGTGAATGTTCTGGAATTGTCAAGGCCAAAAGCTTCAAAAAACACTCAAAGATGTGGTTGGGTATAGAGAAGGTTTCCTAGTTCTCTACTGCAGGAGTCTTTTCCTCTGCTGTTGTATATCGTGCTCAGATTTTTCTTGCTCATCTTCCTACCATTTCTCTTCGGCGGTGTGGTTCTCCTGACAAATATGGAGATAAAGCGAAATTCAGGAGGTTATATCCTGTAGACTTAATGAGTGGTTTAACCCCATTTCCTATGATACGCAATGGTAATGAGTAAGACATTAGCTGGGTATGTTTGTTTGATGATCAGCCGTTAACAATTAACATCTAATGCTTATGGTTGAGCTTAACAGTCAATGTTCCCTGAAATGAATGACGCTTTTTACAATAACTTCTTTGGTGTTATTTTAAAATCAAGGAGGCCTCTGCAAACAATTACCTTTTCTGTATTTGTGTGCTGGTCTGTTCCGTGGGAGAAGGGTGTTCTGGGCAGAGGTCCTATAGCTGTATGTATAAGGCCACTGAAACCTCCTGGTAAATACCGACTAAACTGATAGAAATTGAATAAAACTTAGATGCATGAAATACAAGGTGATGTATTTAAGGAGTAATAAATATATATTATTATAAAATGGTAGTTCAGTTAAAAATGATAGCTGTTAGCAAGATGATTCAGCACACTCAATGTTTTTTGTTCACATCTATGTGTGTTTCTTTAAAATACCATTTGTTAAGCATAATTCTGCAGATTATTTGCAGAGAAGTCAGAGGCAGAGGAATTGGAGGCCAAAGGAATGTTGGGGGGCAGAAGGGGAGGGGAGAAAAAGGGGTGGGGGTAGTGGGGTCAAACTCCTATTGCGTTATCTACATGTGTTACAGATGGGCAGATCTGTACCACTACTGACTGAATAATGGGAAGCTTTCTACTGGCAGCTGGTACAAAAATGTGGTGGTTTGCATTTTAATGTGGCCATGGAAGAAATGAATAGAATTCTATAATTAATTATTAGAAATAATTCCATTCAAAAAAGAAAAAGTAATACTTTACAGGCCATTGGTAAAACCTTACATTGTTTCTCGTTTGGGTTATTTGTTTTGAAATTAGGCACTGAACTTACGGGAGGTGAGTCACTTGGAGGTGATATTTCATTTATCCAGGCCTTTATATTAATTGTATGTGTATTTATTGTTTGCCATAGTACCCCTTGTTCCTTTATTGCTTCTCTATTTCTGAAACTGTTTCCCAGTTCTGCAGAAGTCTTATGTAATTGAGTGCTTGGGTCAGTACAGCCATTCATTGCTGTGACATTAATTTTGGTATCTTAAAAGTATGGCAAAGTGCATTTTACTATATTTTTAATGTAAAAGTTTAAATTAAATGTCTAGATCGTTTTCTTGCAAATAACTTTTTGATTTAATAAAAATTTGAACTGTTTACAAAGTAACAGTTCTCCCTTATGTTTGTGTAGGGGAAAATGCAGTGTTGCACTTCTGAATGAGACAGAATCTGTGCTGTCATATCTGGAGAAAGAGGTAATATGTGACTTCTATTTGGGTAAATATTGGGATGGGTTTATGGGTTTTTATGGCTGCATTATTAATAAATGGGCAAACAATACTTCAAAAATCTTTTCTTGAATGATAAGTTAGAAAAATCATGTTGTTGAAGACACTAATTTTAAAAGCGTTATTGGGTAAAAACTTAATTGACACTCTTAAATAGTGATTTTATTACTAATATGGTTGTATTTAGGAAATAATTTGAAGCAATTCATACGGTGTCTTACAAAAGAAAAATACACAGACTTTTTTCTGTAACGGGTACTTAAGGGGCAATTCACATGGCTGCCTTTTTTCCTTTTCTTTTTCTTTTTTTAATTTCTTTTTTTTTTTTCCTAGAGGTGTTCTAGAAAGAAGAATCTTCCATAGTCAGTGGACAGAGAGAGCAAGAGACGCTCCTGTAGAGGACAACTTAGCATAGGAGTATAATTTTAAGGGCTCTGAATTACTGTATGGAAAGTGTGTCCTCACCTTTCATTTCCTGTGGAAGGAACTTAGGGTGCTTAGCCTTACCAGAGGGGAGGAAAATTCCCCAGGAATTTGAAAGATAATTGTATTGCAAAATACCTTTCAAAATAAACATATTTTTCTTTGGAGTGTCTTAATACAACATCAGGCAGACAGAGTTTTCTAGCTGAAATTATCATGTCTTTATTTTTAAATTTCTACACCAAAACTACTGATAATGGGTAAAAACGTTTCTGAAAACAGGACTTCCCCTATACTTCAGGTGACTGTACCAGATATGCCAGTACTATTTTTGTGTAAGCCCTTTTCAGGTACTGACAATGTTTTATACTTTTTGAGACTAATGCAAAGTCAGCATGGTAGAAATATTTAGGAGGGGAAACATGTTAAATTCAGAAAGCAGTTAACATTAATTCTTTTCAAATCCATTGATATGTTTTTATGTATGAATCTTTTCATTATTGCTCTATTCTGAAATAACTCCTAGCAATGAGAGAAGCTTCAAGTAGCCGTTTAAAGTACTCATGAAACATCTGCATTATTTGAAATAAGGATTAATGAACCAAACCTGTGCTCTCTAAAAGTGTCCGAGGGGGATTACTTTAATAATTTCCAAATGGAAGGTGATACAGATTTACAAACCCAATTTTAAAAATCATTATGCTGTTGCAAATGTGTCTTCTTTTTTAGGATACTTTTTTTTATTCATTGGTGTATGATCCATCACTGAAAACGCTTTTAGCAGACAAGGGAGAAATCAGAGTGGGGCCTAGATATCAAGCAGATGTGCCAGACATGCTTGCAGAAGGTAAATACATGATCTTTGATTAGTCAAAAAAAATTCTTATCTTGCATTATTACTTATGCTGACTTTCTGAACTAAACTAATCAGCATAGAGGCAGAAAAGGTAAAATAGTAGCTCTTAGAAAATTGATGAATACCAGTAGATATCATGAACAAAGAAAGGATATTTGAATAGATGTTGAAAAGACGGCTTGTCTGGCCCATTTCAGGTTTGTGCATTACACAATTTAGGCAGTCAGTGATTGTTTATTTGATTGTGTGGTCCAGTTAGTTCTTTGATGTAGGCCTCATGGAAGGAAGATGTTGAGGACCAGCCCATTTTGTAGAATAGTAACACGATAACAAAATAAGTGAAAAATGTATTCTTTTTCTCCCTTTTAAAACAGGCTCTGCATAGATAATGTGTCTTTGTGTTGTCATTTTACAATATTGGCTTCCATCATAGCATTGTGTCTGTTTTGTAGCAGGACTGAAACAAATGTTTCAAGCCTTCACATATCTTTATGATCACTGGTATTTTTGTAAAGTTTATTTTATTTGTTTATAATCTAGCACAATTACCTGTGCCTTAGTCTTTTGCTACATAGGAACTTTATTCTTTTAAACAAAATTTCAAGTACAGTATTTATTTGGTGTTTGGATGTTATTTAAGAGGCGTGAGCATCTGTGTCTTGTTATGTTTGCAATTACATTTACTTAGTAATTTTTAAAATGAGCTGGCTTTGTCGGTGAAATGTGCACTCTACATTGAGTGCTAACAAAAGAAAAAGTTTCCTGAGAAGTATCTAGACATAGATACTGTTTTCAAGAATCTTGGTATTTATTCCTTAAAAAGAAAGGATTATGTGACAGGAATATCACTTGCACTAAGTCAAAGGAGTTCTGAATGCCCCAAATATGTGTATTTGTAACCTTAAATGGTGTGTTTTCCATTCATCATGGACTTATTTTTTCCTGCTCTACTTTTTCTTTTGTACGAAACAAGTAGTATTTCTACAAAGCTTATTTAATAAACTGTATAAAACAAGAATGATTTGATTTCAGGCAAGTGGCAGATCATTTTACAATGGATGCCATTTAGTAGTTCACCTCCATTATTATTCTGGCTTTTCTTTTAATAACCAGAAATAAACTGTAGGAAGTCTTTTCCAGATTTGTTTATAAGGTGTACAGACTTGTTTCAGAACAAGTTTGTGAGTAGAATATGATACACTGCTATGCTTGCTGTAAAATGTACCTGTCATAGGGAAACAAATAATTATGTAGATATTCATACGCTCAAGAGGAAAGCTTCCCAGAGGACTAAGAGAAAACGCCTGTCTCACTGTGTGTATCAAGTAGCCAGGAAGTCCTGATGTGCTTCTGAAGTAGCTGGTTGAATTGTTGGATTTTCAGGATGAGCTGGGGTTGTCTGGCAGGCAGGAAGTCTTTTTCTACTGAATTCTGCTACTTAAATTGCTAAAGACAGAGCCTAATTATGGAATAGTGAATACTACATATAAAGTAAATGCTTTTCCCATGGAAATTTTACTTACTTAATTTTTGTCTAAACCCAAATTCTGTATTTATTAAAAGTTCAGTTACTAAGTTCTTCTGGAGCTTAACTTTCTGAGTTAAATCCTTGATTCAGTTAGATGAGTAGAAGATCTTTCTCTTAAGTCATGAAGACAGAATTTCACTGTGTGTTACTGTCTTGTTTTTCTCACTCCCCATTAATCCCTAAAATGCAGTAAGTGATGCAGTCGTCTTGCTGTCTTTAGTAGGCAATAATAGTCCCTCAGTTATTAAGGTTCAGAAACACCAAGTTGCCCACGAACCACAGATCTGGTGGTATACAGACAACTTCTTTGGCAGTTTAGTTGGATTAATCTGCACTTATTTCCAGTGGCTGGTGGAAAAAAGAGTTTGGTTTTAGGAGGATAAAAATACCTGAATTATTGTAGTTTTGACTGATTGTTATCTAAATGTTTCCGTAGCCTTCTGACCTCCAAGGAAAAGAAAAAGATGATTCAGCTGTTACTTTGTCTTTATGTAAGCTGACAGCCTCAAAGTTAATCCATTCACTGTCAAGCCTTTTCATTCATGAAAACAAATCTAAACAATGTTTAAAATTAATAGAATAAAATAGATATGTTTGGAAAAGATGTGATCCTGTGAAGACTTCTGAATCTTGATATAAATTTTTCAGCCTGTATTTTTAAAAGTGGCTAACAATGTGTATGTCCAAATTATTATGCCGTAATGTATGACTCTTTAAAGGCCTAGAGCAATCACCTTAAATTAAAACAAAGAATTTAGACAACTTTGAGTCAGTTAGGGATCACTTGAGAAAAATCAGGTTTTATGTCATCTAATAATAGTATTATATAATAAAAGAGAAAGCATTGCTAACTTTATTCACACATAAAATTTGTCATGCCAATTTTAACGTAAAGGAAGTATACCTTTTTGAAGGTTGTTGGTAGGCATATTTTATGTTTACAGAAAATCCCCAAAGCCATTTAAAAAAAAAAAAAAAATTTAGAAAAATCGAAGATTCACACACCATCAGTTATTTTATTTTAAGTTACTGGCATATAAATCCAATTCAAATGACTGAAAACATGCCAGTTCAGATTAGCTTTCAGAAGACCAGTCACAAAGTGGCTGAAAAATGAAAAAGTTCTTTGAACTGTGAAAGCCCTTACACATCTTCTATAAACATTAAATTATTTTGACGTAAACACACTTATGTATTCTAGTAGATTAAAAATTCAGATTGCTTGCATTTTCTCTATACTGTGATAATTGTGATACATGTTCTGTCTGAATGGACTGGTGCCTTTTTTTTTTTTTAGTGTTTATTGGAGACCTATATGCATTTTTTTGGTTGGAATAGAGGGTTTGGGTGTGTCCCCCGTCCCCCCTTCCCCCCGCCCTTGCATTGATGTTACCATTTTTCCATCCTTGAATAAAACACTCCAAAACCTGGTGTTTAGGCCAAACTTCAGATAATGCAGCATACCTTCTCCCTCCCCACCCCCCATGGGTGGAGAGCTTTATGTTTCTCTTTAATTTTTGAAATGGAAAGAATGTTTTCTTTTTAAAAGACTAAAAGGTTTACTAAAATCAAGATACACAATAAAGAATTAGAGATCCAGCTGGTTTTCCACTTTGAGATATAATGAATCATAAGTCCTTTACGCAGTTACAGTAAACAAATATAAACAAAGTTTAAATCTGGTTGAAAATGCCTAAGCCTTGTTTATCTACACTGGTTTTGTTTGTAGTGATTTAGCTAAATTGCTTAGATTACATATGTAGTGAAGACTAACTTTGGAGAAAGACCAGACCAGATTCCTTTCAGCAATCTCTTACCATTTTTGTTATGAGCATCTTTGAGAGTAAAACTATCATCAAAGTTGTCAGATTTGAATGATACTATGATTGTGTGAAACCCTTCCTTCTCCCCCCAGTGCCAAGTGCTCCAGTCTTTCTAGACTCTAGTTCAAAGATTTTGAGAGTCTTTTTAGTTGCTTTTATTATGGTGGAGGAGACTATATTCTACAGCATTGACTCAAATTCTAGCTAGTATGATACTAAAGAAGGTCCTTTCTCTGCTTTTAACACCACATTTTCCAGTGGCTTATTCTGTGAATATAACAGTTATTTATTTTCAAATCTGTTTCCAGTGCGGGGTAACATTCCGCTCCCCTGTACAAAGCAAGAATAAAAAGGTTTATCTCAGAGAACCAAAGCACGCATTTGGACAAAGAGTATCTTGTTTCAAGCATCCCTACTCTACAGTCCAGGAGCAAGGTACCTGGTTCTCTGCATGTGATGGCCAGAAGCTGCTGTCTGGTGCATCCACCTACTGTATTTGATCGGCAACTTACAAAAAGTGTGACTAGTAAGTTCAAAAAATGAAACAAAAAAATCACAAACAACCAACAAAAAACGCCTAGTACAGTTTTGCTTTGGGCAAGTCATTATTATCATCGTTATTTGATTAAAAGGCGTACTTTTATAAATTATTCTGAATATGATCACATTGCTTTCACCTTTAGCTAACAGATTTTATTTAGTCCTGTTCTGTGTACAGGAAAATATGAGGAAGGTCAGGGAAATTGCTCCAAGGCAAATCAGTTTAGATACTGGGTAAACTTTTGTGGAACACTGATCGTTCCCTATCTCACAACTTGATCTATTTAAACCCAAATGTTTTTAAATCCTGGCATTTCAACCAGTATTTCTCAGCAGTGGAACAAGTGATGCAGTGGCAAGTTGTGTTACATGGTTGGCTAGAAAGCAGAGAATGAGAGAGAAAAGTAGCAGCATAGCATTAGGGATGTAGTTCATGAAGTAGGATAATGCTCAAGAATGGGAGAAACTGGAAAAAAAGGTAATTTTCTTTTCTCTACAGGATTTCTTTTACTGTGTTAAAAAAATGTTTCTCTGGTATGTATGCATTAGTCTTGCAGCCTCATGCGTACTATCGTAGGTCTAATTGTAGTTGTCACACAGTAGAACGTGTGACAGCTTAGCTAAGCAAATACAGTCAAAGTATTATTTATAGATAGGGAAGCCAAGTGTTTAAAATAACCTCATTGGCCAAATGAGTAACTTCTTCAGTAATGGTTTGGTTTGCTTTTATTTACTCATAGGGTTGAGAATCAGGTGGAAAGACTGGGACAAAGCCAACAAAGGTCAATAATTGTTCCCCTGTCTGTCAAAGGTCAATTAAAACTTCTGAAGCAGAGGATATTTTTCTAAATAAACCTAACAAAGGACTTCATTGTCACTGTGTTCTGGTCCTGACACGTAAGTCTAGTGAAACTATTTGGAGTAATTCTCTGACTAAAAGAGCCAAACCAAACAAAAAAATGCGAAGTTGTATTTTCAAGAAAACTAATAAAATTTGGAGTAACTATCTCCTATGATTTTAAAGAAAATTGGAGAATAAGTGTAATTTGTTGAAATAAATTTTCTGATGTTACATTTGCTTTGTCAAGCAATAATGACAA